TCAAAAAGTTATTAAATTTGTCATAGTATGGTCATCAACCTAGGTGGGTTGACTCAGTAAAATTAGTTGCTAACCAACAAATCTGGATGTAATAATACAACTCCTTCAATTTTGCACTTGCTGGTTAACATGCCAGCTGGTCAGATTGTTTGAAGATGATAGTTGTGATCCAATATTTTTGGGAGGGGATTAGATTGGTGATAGCTCCCCATCGGGACTAATTATATTTGAAGCAGAGAAGTATGATATACTTGAGTGCTGGATGTTAGTAAAATGGAGGCATGGAAAGTATTACAGAAACCTCCTGAAATGGAAAAACTGCTCAGAAGTTCGAGAGAAAAGACAGGGAAGGGTGTGCTGTAGACTAAGTTACCTTTATGTCAAAGAACTTAAGCTCCATAAACAACAGTTCATAAATGGAGGATGCTTTGGGTGCTATATCATTGCCTAAAAGAACATTAATGGAAGAGATTTCCTATAATCTCCCTCCTTGACCAAGAAGTTAAACCTAACCTATAGAGGAAAATGAATTTTGAGATATATCTGAAGAAGACAATGGTAATTGTTAAGTTTGTTCATCCTCACATATATTTTTTTTTCCTGCATGCAATAAAGCGATCAGATTTCCAATATTCTAAATGATAGGAGTGAGATTTGGAGAAGCATATACTAAAGAACATTTGAATATAAACAACAACATTCTTCAAATATATTTGGAACAGGAAATTGACCTGGGAAACCATTGGGTCATTGGATGATGTGGTAGTTTGTTAAAATGTATTATCTATAGCCTACTTTCCCTGCAAGAGCTCAAGGCAACGTACAGAGCATTGACTTCTTCATTTTTCCGTACAATAACTGTCCTATAAGATGTTGAGACTATAACTGTATATATTATATTATACATTATGTATAAATAACTGTACATGTTGAGACAATAACTGTCCTATAAGATGTTGAGACTCTAGAAAGAGTGCAGACTTCAATACCCAGAATTCCTGAACCAGTCATGCTGACTCAGGAATTCTGGGAGTTGAAGTCCACAAGTCATAAAACAGTCAAGGTTGCCTACCCCTGGTCTAGTTTAATGAAAAGAAGGACTACACGATGGCAGTGTTTCAATATCTCAGGGGCTGCCACAAAGAAGAGGGACTCAACCTATTCTCCAAAGCACCTGAAGGCAGGACAAGAAGCAATGGATGGAAACTAACCAAGGAAACTAACCAACGTAGAACTAAGGTGAAATTTCTTGACAATTAGAACAATTCATCAGTGGAATGACTTGCCTCCAGAAATTGTGGGTGCTCCACCATTGGAGGTTTTTAAGACAAGATTGGACAACAATTTCTCTGAAATGATATAGGGTTTCCTGCTTGAGCAGGGGGTTGGGCTAGAAGACCTCCAAGGTCCCTTCCAACTCTGTTATTCTGTTATTCCATACTGTAGCTTGGGCTGGGAGTGGCCAAGTGACCCATAGTCACCGGTTAAGAATTTTTATGGGTGTGGGTAGACCTCAACATGGGTCTCCCTAGTCCTAGTCCAGGGCCTTAACCTCTACACTAGACTGGCTGTTAGCATTAATGGAAGGTAGGGAAATATTGGTGACATGAAACTAATTCTTCACTCAATCAGTTATCAAATTTATATAGGTGTCCATCTACCAAATTTCACTTTGGGCAGAGTACCATAAAAAAACTATAGAAAACAAACATCCAAAATTCCACAATAAAAATTTTATATTATTTATTTAAAAGCCTAAAAGACAGCATCTTTGGTGTTACAAACAAGGTAGCCATCTCAGCAATTCTCCATTTCCTTCCATGCTGGTTGACAGAGCCATGTTTTGAGGGTCTCCCAGAAAATTGCCAAGAATGGATTCACGTTATTTCTCTCTTCACTGCTAAGGATGTAATACAAATACCGATGCCCGAACTGGCTTTTTCAAGAGAAATATAGGACAAACTGAGATAGAGGTAATGAGTGCTGAAATTATAAGTAAAATTAACAAACTAAAAATAAATCTTTAGGTTCACCCAAGAGTTCTTGAAGAACTTAAATATGAAATTGCTGATCTTTTTGCTAAAATATGAATCTTCTCTTTAATCTTGGCATTTTTCCCTGAGAAAGGAAAACAGCCATTGAGACCACAATTTTTAAAAATGGACTTAGGGGCAATGTAAGAAACTTAACATCTTAGCATTTGCTCTGGAGAAAATTGCTGATATTATTAAAGGTAAAATAATCATATAACTAGAAGGAGTCTTGTTGAAAAGAAACTAACATAGCTTCCAAAGTAAGTCAAGTCTCACTTCCTATTTAGATTTGAAGGAATCAACAAGTACGTAGACAAGAATAACCCAATGAGTATTTTCTACTCAGATTTTTCAAGGCTCCTTTGACAAAGTCTCTCACCAAGGACTCCAGAGAAAACTGGCAACTAATTAAAAATGGGGTGAGTAAAGAAGAATAAATGGATAATTCCCACACTGGTAAGGCATGTGTAAAATGAGGTCTTTTATTGTTGGTACCAATCTTTTTAATCTGCCTATAAATTATCGGCAGTTGAGCAATAAGGCTGCTTTGCTGATGAAACCAAACTGCTTAAGGTGGTAAAATAAAAAAATGGTTTGTTAAGAATCTTGCCAAATATGATGAATTAACTTCAAAATGGCAAGTGCAGTTCACTGTAAATAAGTATACAGTGACATATGTTAGAATAAAAAAATCCATATTTCATTAATGAGACCTGAGCTAGTAATAGTTGGCCAGGAAAGGTATCTTTGATTCATGGTAGACAATTCAATGAAAAAAATCAACCCACTGTGCAGCTCCTGTAAAACACATACACACACACACACACACAAAACCCCCATAAAAGAACACAATTCCATGTTTGAAATTGGAATTGAGAATAGAACGTTCAATATAATAATGTTCTGATACGTTTATGTGTCAAGAACACCGCTCTGAAGAATTGTAGGCAGTTCAAATTAGCAGTCCAAAAGGATGTTATAGAATTTGAAAAGCTGCAAAAATGACAACCAAACTGATTAACAGAGTAAAGCAGCTCCCTTACAAGAAAAGATTACAGCAGCCAGGACTGTTTGGCCTTGAATCAAGGAAATAAGCATGCAGGGTGAGGGGAGGCAACCATGCAGGATGTTGTGAGCTTTTCTTCTTCTCTCACAATATAATAATTCAAAACCAGCTTCTGAATTAAAGGCAGAGAAACATGGGATCAGCAAACTACTTTTGTTACACAGTGCATAGTTAAATTCTGGACTTCATTACCAGCAGTTGTAGTAATTGCAACCAGTTTAGATGGGACGGCTCAGGTTTGCAAGATTAGATAATCAGTGACTACTAATACTGATGACTGTTTATTACCTTTTGAATCACAGCTTGCTGTAATACTGAATGCTGGGAAGTGATAGCGGAGAGGGGTAATTTATTTATTTACCAAATATCTAAGGTCATCGGACTCCATAATGATTCTGCGTGACATACAATACTAAAAACGGTCAAAAACAATATAAAGAGGAAAGAAGGAGCAATCAAACACCCAACCTAAAGATAAACTATTCCATTAAGAGGTCTGCCTGGTGGAATAGGTAGGTAGGGACCATGTGGATCTCTGGGGAGATGCTGCTACCTGGACTCCATTGAATGAAACTTTAATGGCTCATGCTAATTCTATTTGACAGGAAGGGCAGGCAGAAGCTATAGGATGAATGGTCCCTCAGATAACCAAGCCCTTTGCCATGAAGAGTTTTATAGCTGATCATCACTATTTTGAATTGTATCTGGCAGCCAGCTGGTAACCATTGTAGCTCATGAAGCAGAGGGATTACATGGGTACATTGTGGCATATCCATCATTTCTTGTGCCATTGCATTCCGGACCTGCTGCAGTTTCAGAGGGGTAGCTCTGTGTAAAGTATATGGCCATGGGCTTCCAGATCCAAGAATGAGTGCAATTGACGCTCTGTGCAACTCATGTAGCTCCAGTCACAGCTACACCCTGCGTTTCTGGGACAAGTACACAAGTCCAGCAAAGTTGAACGCTTCCAGAGGGACAATCTGGACCAGATGGTCCAAATAACCTCAACCACTCAGTTTTCCTTGGGTTGATCCTGAGTCTATTCCTCCCCATCCTGACCCTCATAGCCTGCTGCCAGTGGGCCAAGGGTGAAAATATACTCCTGTTCTCCAAAAGTGTATCCATTTGCCCATTGTGATACAGAGTGCTGGACATGGTGAAAGAATGGTCTGATTCAACCAAGGCCATTGTTACATTCAGGGTGATGAGGTTTCAGGTATACATTCACTCTTGATCAGATCAGCTCCTAGCACAACACTAAAAAGCCAACCAGTGTGTGTGTGGGTGTGGGTGTGTGTGGATAGGGGTTCGTGGGTGACTACCCCTATTCTGGATTACTGCAATCCCAGGTTGTTTAGCGGGAACATCCCGCAGAAGTCGTCCGAGTAGACATTACGCACGAGGAGCGAAAGCCCTCTTTCACCCTCCGGTACGTGAGGGCGCCAGCGACGGGACGGAACCGTTCCGCATACTTTCTCACTTTCTTGCTCGCGGGCGGGCGAGAGAGATTGCGCGTTTGTTTGTTTGTTTGTTTGTTCTCGGAGTTCTTGGGGTGAGGCGGCGCGCAAGAAGGTGCCGGAGCGCCGCAGGTCTGACTGGGCTGTGGGCGGCGAATGGAAGTGGGTGGCGCGCCCCGGTGCGCGCGGGTGGGCATTGCCTGACTCCGCCCACCCACCTCCCCGGGCGCCCCCTCGCTATCCAGCCTCCACTCTGACTCCGCTTCGCCTCCCGCCTGCCTGCCTGCCTTTCCCAGGCGGCGCTCCTCGAGGCAACCGCCAGGGCAGAGCAACGCGGGGCAGGCGGAGCTGGGGGCGGGTGGAGGCGGAGGCGGCTGCTGGGGGATGCGCCCGGCCCTGAGAGGCCATATAAAGCGTCGCGCCTCTCCCAGTCGCTTCGCCTGCAACGTCCACGGATCTTAGCGGTGGTGGCGGCCGTGGCTCTCCCGCGCTCTCCGTGGAGTCTTGCGTCCTGACCGGTCTATGGTGTTTCCTGGAGCCCCCGGCACCGTCATGTCGCGCTCGGAAGAGGTGCACAGGGTCACCGAGAATGTCTACAAGGTTAGAGCCAGATCGTCTTGGAGAGAGGGGCGGGGGGTCGGGGGTCGGGCACCAGGCGGTGCCGTGCAGTGCCCGGGGCATTTGGACCAACTTCTCGCCCTGTCCCGGGCTGCCTGAATCCTTTTGGCCGTAGCGGGACTCCCCTGCCTTTGGCGCACTCCTCTTCCACCGCCGCCGGCAGCGAGACGTGCTCGTTTTCTTTGTGTGCTTTTGCGGAGTGGCGGTCACCTGTTGCAGGATTTTGCACCTTTCCTCGCTTCTTGCACTTCTCGCCCCAGGTGTTCAGGTCGTCGTGGTCTTTCCGCCCTGTTTGTCGGGTGTCTTTTCACCTTGAAGCAAGTTCTTTTAAATTTAAACCTATATATATACTGTACCTTTCTTGGATTCTCCCGATTCTGCCGCCCAGGGCTTGCTTGCTTGCTTGTTTTCTCCCCTACCTCGGCATTGGTCGTTTCGTAATTGCGAAAAGAATATAACCCAATTCCACCTAAACTCCTTCACTGCTTCCCCCCCCCCCTCTTTCTTATGAGAGGGTGCTGTGGAGACTTGATTGAAAACCATATTTCCTTGGGCGAGAAGAGAGAGTGTGTGTGTTTGTGTATGTGTGAGCGACTCGCGGGTGTATGAGTTTCCCTGGGAAAAGTGGGAGCGAGCCATAAAGAACAGACTCATTTGCCAAGCAAGCGAGAAAGCAGCAACTCTAATCTCCTCTCTTTCGGTATAGTGTACTTGGTTTGCTTCAAAAGAATTCCAGTTTTTAGGCAAAAAAAAACAGCATTTAGGTTCTTCCTTCTACCTGGTTAATATCCACTGCATTGGTCTGAAGCTTTAGTTGCTCTCTATCAAGTATTCCTGGACAGGAAACATCATCTCTTTATTTAAGATGAAGATTGTTCCTCTTCCCTCTCTCTGCCTTTTTTTGCCTCTCCTTTTTGTTTAAATAGGGGGGAAATAGATTTTGTCCTAAAAAGGGTGGGAAAAGATAGCTTATGTAAGAGTACAGGTGATTTGTATGTGGGAGTATTTTTTTAAATAACTTATTTCTTTTTGTATTAAAATGAAAAACCATGTTCTACATTGGATTCTTTATTGTTCTGGTTGAAAAATTATTTCTGGAAAAAAAAAAGCTAAAGAACAGAAACAATCCTTCCCTCCATGTCAACACGCACTTCCTGGTACATGATTCTGTGGTAAAATCTTCATCCTTTATGTGCTTTTGATGTGGTTTCTGATGGAATGCAATGGTCTTAAAAATGACTTCTGCGTCCAGAATTGTAAAAGTCCCAGGGCACTGGTAACATTACAGAGTTGGATTACTCTAAAAGCTGAGATCTCTCTACATGCTTGTAGGTATTCATGGTTTCCTTAGAGGCTGTTCTGAGGCTTTTGTGGAATAGAAAATGCTCCCCTTCTAAACTGTTTCTCTGCTAGGTGAAATCACTGCTCCCAGCATGGCATGTTAGTTGCATGAATAGACATCTTTTTCCCTTTCAGTGGTGTCATTTTAATTTTTACATTATTGGGTTCATTGGTTGTATTTTAATTGGTATGACCAAGTTGTTAAGAAATAGGTTATTTTAAAAGAAGGTATGGGAACATAATTCTAGGAGGGCATAAGATGGCAATTACACAAAAACAACCATTATTACACTCATTGAGTTAATAGCTAGTTGGCTAGCATGCCATTCAAAAGCATTTATCCCTTAGTAAGCAAGGAACTGCTAATTCAGGTGGTTCTTCATGGTCTATTTGCATGAAGTGCAATAATTTAGCTTCATGCCTAATCCAGTGCTACATGCAAATAGGTCTGCACTATTTACCACCTGCACATATGTCACATGCAGAAATCATAGCCTGAGAGCACAGATGGTGCTGTCGGGGGTGGAGGGGGGGAGAGGGTGAGAGAGAAAGAGCTGTTGATGGAAGTCTTCCAGCACAATGTCATACTTGAAAGAACAAGTATACTTGTTCTATCTTGTGCGAGGAACCAAGTGTATTGGGATTGGTGTATGGTTGTTTGCCCTGACCCCCTTGTCCCTAATGTGTTTGGGAACAGTGGTGTAACTTCTGTGTTTTCTGTCAACAGGGAAACATTTTCAGTATAAAGTTAGAATGTATGCATTTGAAAATGCTGTTTCGCCCTGTTTTCCAATTGTACTTCAACAAGAAATATCATTAGGCCAGTAATTTGTTCTGTGTTAAATCTTTTTTTTCATATTAATGAATCTTTGAAATTTTAATCTCTCAGACCCTTGCCTTTGACATTTTCCTGAAAACATTCTTTTAAATTAATATGTTCTACTTCAGTAGACCCTGTGAACCACACTTAATCAAATCTTATTTAACTTAGGAATGTTATGCAGGCTGTCATGCATTAAACTAGATCTAGTTACTGTGTTATCTGGGGTCAGTCTCTGTTCCTTCATTTAAATTAATGAAACATTAAGTTATCTAGGAGAAGAATGAGGCATGTAAAGTATTAGACTCTCACCATTTAGCCCTATGTGATATTGAAAAGTTTTCTTTTTTTTGTTCTTTGTCCTGGGCTTTTTGCATATTTTGGTACAAAGTCATCTTGGCCATTTCAGGTTCTATCTTTCAGCAAGACTGTCTCTCCCTTCCTTCCTTCCTTCCTTCCTTCCTTCCTTCCTTCCTTCCTTCCTTCCTTCCTTCCTTCCTTCCTTCCTTTCCTCCTCCTCCTCCTCCTCCTCCTCCTCCTCCTCCTCCTCCTTCTTCTTCCTCTTCTTCTTAACAAGTTTATGTATTGTAATTTTTGGATCCAAATAACTTTGAAAGCAAGATTTTTTGATGTTGAATAGTATCTACTCCCTCCAACAAGGCAAATGCTCTTTAAAATAGTGGAATAAGAGCTCTTGAAACCCATGGTGCAAAGTTGCGTTTTCAACAGGACTTAATTTAATCATGATTAATACCCATATATGCATATTGTTTTGGTAAAGACTCCAGTCATAGAGGGGCAAATATTGTTTTGGTTTTTAATGGAAGATAGAAATGCTTTTGAGTTAATGCTTAAGATCTATGCAGTTTTCTTGGTAGCTTTGCCTTCTCATGGAAAGTTTCTTATCTGCATCTCTGGTATTTCCAAGTGGTCCACTATCCAAGGGTAATCCAAGTTGGTCTTGTTTAGCTTTGAAGAGCACCCTAAGTCAGCAAGGGGGTGCTGTCTGTGGTTTTTAATGCCATAGTCCTAAATAGATGCATTGTGTTTATAATAAGGACTATTGGTTATCATTTGAAATTTATTTAAAGATAAATATAGACCTAATTACAATTGTGTTGGTATAGCGTTTGGAGAAGCTTCCCTGGTCCAGGGTCTGGATTTACACACCATGCTAAATCAGTAATAGGCAAACTTTTGGTTGCCATTGGTTACTTTTAATACATTTGATGGGGCATTAAGGGCTGCAGTGACTCTGGCAATAATGCCAAATGGATAGGAATGATTTATGCATGCAGGGAGAGTCAGCATTTTCCATTTCTTTTCCCAGTTTTGGGTTGTAGGTGGTTGCCAGGCCTTCAGGGTAGATTAGATTAGGCCACTGCTTGTCAAGGGCCAGGGAAATCGGGAGATCCAGGCAGTTCAAATGGGTATAAAGATTTATTGCAAGCTTAAGCTTTCTGAAAGAATCTGAACTAATGGCCCAAGCAAATTGACAGTAGATAAGAGTAGAAGGTGGGCTGGAATTAGATCTATTGTGGCTGTAAAGGGACTCATGACCGATGACATGTTTGACCTCTCCCTTGGGCTCAGCCTGGTCATCTCCTACACTGCTATTTCTATTGTAAAGCTACAATAACAGAATCTTTCAAGTCTGAATGTGCTTCCCTCCTCTTTTCTTTTAATTTTTGTGAGGGTCTTGTCTGAAACATTTGCTTAGGTTCCACTCCTGCCTGTATGTGACTGTTGGCTTGGTAGCAACTCTTCTTCCTGTTCCTCAAGGCCATTCCTTCTGCTTTTACAGTGATGGTTTGTGATTTTTTTTCTTTATTGCCCAAAGACTGTTTTAGGGATTACATTGCAGGTTTCCTGAGGCTTCCCTCCCGCTCAAAAATAGTAGAAGACTATAGTGTTGATCAGACATTGACATTTTACCCTTTTCTATAGTAAGGCAGTACTTGTCTATACCTGGTTTATCAAACAACCTCTAATGGGTTAAACCATAATGACAGAAGTCACCTTAAGGCTGAGTACAGTGTATGCACTCTTATCAGGGTGATTTGTAAATTATGAATTATAACTTAACAATGACTCATTGCTTCTCCTTGCAAGGGTTTGCTGAGTATGCAGCCACTGCAGTGGACCCTAATATTCTGCAGAGCTGCACAGTGCTGCTTCCCTCACCATTGGCCATGGCAGTTGGGAGTTATACCAAGTTAGAAATAATTCTATGGTATGGGTCTCCATTTGCTTAAGCATTAAGAAACAGCTATGTGGCCACCTAATGAGAAGGAAGGACTCACTGGAGAAGGGCCTAATGCTGGGAAAGATTGAGGGCAATAGAGGAAGGGGACAACAGAGAATGAGGTGGCTGGATGGAGTCACTGAAGCAGTAGGCGTGAACTTAAATGGACTCCAGAAGATGGTAGAGGACAGGAAGACCTGGAGGAACGTTGTCCATGGGGTCGCGATGGGTCGGACACGACTTCGCAATTAACAATAACAACATGTAGCTATAAACCACTGTTCCCATTCTGCAATGGGATATGTTTGGCAAGCAAGGTTAAGGGTGTCACTGTCTTATGTGTTAGGTGCAGATTATTAAATTTATCTCTAAATCAAAACTACGGTATGTAATATAGGTTGTTGCACTGAAATAACAGAATAACAAAATAATAGAGTTGGAAGGGACTTTGGAGGTCTTCTAGTCCAACCCCCAGCTCAGGCAGGAAACCCTATACCAGGGGTGTCAAACTGCTGGCCCGCAGGCCGGATGCGTCATGCTGAAACCGCGCCCACCCCATTGCCGGCAATGGAAAAG